ATCCAATTTGAATTTACTGAGGGTAGAGCTGGTCACTGACTGTGCGGATCGTTCGAGGTGACGGCGTGATTTGAGGATCTGAGATGGAATTCTAATCCTAACCTTGTCGATTCTATTCATTCTACGAACAAGGGAAAGGCCATTCTGAGAACGAACCTGTGACCTCAATTTCGGAGCGTGTGGCTCGAGCCGTAATTCAGGAAAGGCAGTAGTATCCGCTAATGAAGCAATAACCTCATCCAAACTACGAATTCGCCAACTAGGAACTAAGGAAGAAAAAGAAAATAATTAAAAAGCGGTCATCCCGATATGATCAAAACAGACTTGAAGCGAATAATTAGATAGTATAAATGCAGCGTGCAAGCAAATGTAGAATAATAAAGGATAATTCGAAAAAAAGAAAAATTATAAATTATAAAAATTATGTATGACTAGTGAGGAAAATCAAAACAATCAAACGTTTCCAGTACGGCTCGGTTTACAAATTAAAGGCTTGAATACGGTATGCCGACTTATTTTTGTGCAATAAGATAGATGATATCTGGAGCCACAAACTAACGAATAATGCAATAGATACATATTGCACTCACAGCCTAACTGTTTAGACATAGAACAGATCAAACTAGTCAATACCTGCTGAAAAACATGATATAAGCACAAAAGAACAATTAGTGAAGGCAAGAAATTTTGGTCATATGTAAATCCAGATTTGGCTCACTATGAGGTGGCTTAAGATAAAGTATGCAGATTCACATGGTTATGACAGAGATATACAACTCACCCTCTATCTGCTCTTGTGAAACAGGCTTCATGAAATGAGAAATATCATCTACTTGTGAAGGTACAATATGTTCAGTACCTTTTTCTCTATTAAGCGTCATAAAAATATTCCGAAAAGAGATATGATCGTTTTCAGACATGGAAGAACGAAATTCGTCAGAAAATATAGGTTGGTAGTAAGCATTGCTGGAGACCAAGAATTTCGAAGGGTATTCTTCCTGTTGTTGCACAAGACAGAGCGGTTTTATATTGCGGGTTTGAGGCGAAGTGCTCTGTTGGTTATTTATCTTCGAAAAAGATGAATCCAGTTGAGGAACTCCGTATTTATCTGATGGCTGCCTAAATCTTGAACGCCTTGGGCGATTTGTCAAAGTAATATCTGGAAGACCGTGAATAGAAGGTTCCAACAATTCAGTGATCAGATTTTTCCTGCGGCCAACAGCCCTTTGGGATTGAGTAAAAGCTGAATCAATTACAGATTTATGTATTGGCGCAGTCCGGACAGCGAGACTGATTGCATTAGTTGATGAATCTAAATTGGTAGATGAATGTGTAGGAGACGTCGGTGTCTGTAAAATTAGAATACAACTACGAGAATGAAGTTGTCAACGGGGATGGAGGCCTTGTTAATCAATGAGCAACTAGATATGAAAGACAATAACGATTCTGAAATTAAGTTAAAAAAATACTGCTTACCTGTTTTAAATCATAATCTGTAGGAATACATGATGAATGGACCTGTCCAACAGGAGCTGACGCTGATTTATCAGCGGGATTGGATGATTTTGTCCATAGAATATCGGACACGGTTGGCAAAAGTACTCTGGGAAATCCAGGTGATATGGAATTGAATTGATGCATGCTATGACGTAGCTCCGACCTGGAGTCAAGCGGCAATGGAGTAATAGCCAACTCTATATCAATGTGATAAAATTAGTAAG